TTTGCTTGGCTAGGTATTTGTAATATTTCGCTTTGCTTGTCAATGATTTGGCTTATCTGTAATAGCTGGTGTTTGCATGAGAAGTTAAAGTTGCTAACAAACAAACTTTTAATTCTGCTTTAATTCATTCATTGTCCTGCTGATTTCAGTTATCAGTTCAATTTTGCTTTAAATGTATTTCATTAGCTTTGTCTCAGCCTGATGTCATTTAAGCATTCTTGTTCTTGTCCTCTTTTAAAACTTTACCTTCTGCTGTACGCTGGCCATACGCGACAGTCCTGTAAGGGTTAAGGATATATTATGGGTATGTTTGTGAATTTTGTTGGAGATCAATTGTGAAATGAGATCCCAAGTAATTTTGGGATGTGAAGTATTTCCTGGATTAGCTGATGAGAGATCCAAATTGTAAATACAGTTTGTGTTCATCATCTGGGAGTGGATATGACATTGTAAAGATAGGCAAATTGTATTTTCTCACAGATACCGTTCTGCTTATATTTCCATATAAAGTTTAGTATATTTGAAGAAACCTTGAGTCGTTAGTCTGAGTTCTTTATTCTTCTCTGTATTTTTTTCTCCATAAATTGTATTGTTCGGTTTTCCTTGAATCTACATGTATGGAGGGTATTTTGCAGATTGTAGACTATGGCACTAGTGCAAGAAGGAGGTCGCACAGAAATTGAAGAAGGGATTGTTGACAGAGAGGTCTTAGCCGAAGCTGAGAGCAATCCACGAGAGAACTGTGGGCAGAGTCAGTGTATTTTCAGTGGCCTAGATGGAGACCTGATTAGAGTGAATTCCAGAGTACTCCTTTGTGAACGAGTACCACCTCAATGGCAAAGGAGGAGGAGATCTGACTGTAATGCGTGCCTGGCATCCATAAAGATGGAACACTCTGATAAATGTTGCTTGCTGTGCTCTATGTGCCATCAAAGGGTTGTCGTTGCTGTGCCACTGATTGTTTTCACACACAGCCCTTAGCTTGAGGAATATTGCTATTGCTGTATTATGGTACTTCCTTTTGTTTGCTGGCATATTAATTGAAATAAAAGGAGATTATTTCTTTGTGACTTTCTTTTTGGTATTTTTTGGTTAGTTTTGTCCATTTACACTATCTGGCTCTTCGTCTTAAGCAGCTTTCCTCTGTCAAGTGTTCTTTTGTCTTGTTCAGCTCTGTAATGTCTCATTTGTTTTTCGTTTGTTCAATTTTCCTGTTGTAGTTTTTCATTGCTTTTTATGTTTACTTTACCAATAATAGGATGATTTTACTTCTCTTGATTTTGATTAGTTAAAACTGTATTCTTTTTATCCATGCTTCATGAATGAATAATTTGTTATTGTTGGCTAGGGTCTTGATGTACACATCACCTTGATGACAGTTGTTAATCTTTTATATTATTACTGACAAGCACTGCTGAATCTTTTATAATGCTTTAATATTGGAAATGTCTGAAGATCTGAAATAAACAAGGAATAAAATATAATATTTAGTTTTGGGTTCTCAGTTGTTAGTTCTCAGTCTGTCAATATCGGTTGTGATACACATGTACATGTAGTATTAACAAATTTCATTAAATATATTTTCCAGGATATACATGTAGAGAAGATGTACCATGGAACTCAAAGGCCAGTCATTTATCTCAGTGCATTTCATCTTAGCCTCTGTTTTACCCTGATTCATATTTCAGACTGCTACTGCACTCAAAATAGGGCCTCATGTGGTTGTGACTGAATCATAAAAATGAGTAAAGTAATTGGCATTTTGCAGAATGTATGTATTTCTTTCAGGTGCAGATTTGAAGCTGGTAGGAGGTGCTAACTTAGACCCCCAGTTGGAATGATGATAGAGCAGTTTCTAGATGGCACCTGTCAGCAGTTTAGTTAATGAAAATGAGGAGTTTTTCTTAGTGTGGCCTGCATGAAGGGCTCACAAACCTGCATTGAATGTGATGTGTTTTGGATGGAGTACATGTACATTACCAAGACTGATGTCATGAGTATTCAGAGGCAGTAGCTCAAGTCACACACTCAATGTGGTCTCGCACCATGACTGAGTACAACCTGGCCATTGATGACAGCTTCGCATCCTGTCGAGTCTGATGGAGTACATGTACATGTTTGTTACCCAGACTGATGCCATGAGTATTCAGAGGCAGCAGTTCAAGTCACAGACTGGATGTGGTCTTGGACCATGACTGAGTACAACCTGGCCATTGACAGCTTCTCATCCTGTCGAGTCTGATGGAGTACATGTACGTTACCAAGACTAATGTCATGAGTATTCAGAGGCAGCAGCTCAAGTCACAGACTGGATGTGGTCTCGCACCTTGACCGAGTACAACCTGGCCATTGACAGCTTCTCATCCTGTCGAGTCTGATGGAGTACATGTACGTTACCCAGACTGATGTCATGAGTATTCAGAGGCAGCAGCTCAAGTCACAGACTGGATGTGGTCTTGGACCATGACTGAGTACAACCTGGCCATTGACAGCGTCTCATCCTGTCGAGTCTGATGGAGTACATGTACGTTACCAAGACTAATGTCATGAGTATTCAGAGGCAGTAGAGTTTTTGTAGGACCTGTGATGGAGTGATGACATGAAATGAGAAACTTTCTACTCTACATGTATTAAAGTTAGTTACTGTAGTATTTTGATGTATTGCAATAAAGATTGTTGAAATGTAAGAAAATCTCAAACCACCTTTGCTCTGAGCTCTCAGTGCTATGCTTTCAAAGATCTGACCTAAAATAATACAAATTGGCTGCATGACCTTCCAGATAAAAAGCATTAGACTTGTTTTTTTATTTTGATTTTCTCACAGACCAGTCTTTTTATCGATTTATACATTGCATGGTGTTACATGTACTTATCAGTGTGCTTCATCTAAGTTTTCAGACTATTTGACCAGAGCAGCCTGCTGTGGACGAGATTCATTAGGAGGTGATGCAGATGGAGTTCTGGGCTGATGCAGATATTTTCAGAGAACCTCGTGTTGTACCGGAACTGGGATGAAGTGACCACTTGAAACGAGAAACATGCTATTCTATGTGTTTTTAAAGTTACTGGTAGTGACTGTTCTTGTATATTTATATTTATTGAAATAAAGAGACATTGAAGTGTAAGAAACGAAATATCTCACAAAGTCTTTGAGCTCTCAGTGCTTGTGCTTTGAAAGTTTTGACCTAAAAATAATACACATTGGCTGCGTAGCCATTCTCATTTTCATTTTCTCACTAACCAGACTTTTTTATCATTGAATTGCGAGTACATGTGTAGACATTACATGTACAGGATGCATGAATTGCTTGGCTACATGTACATTGTATTCACAAGTGTACCTCGTTTAAGTTGAACAGAGCAGCTTGCCATGGACCCGTTACATCAGGTACTAATGCAGATTTTTTCAGAGAACCTTGATGGAGATGCAGCTTTAAATTTGGAGCTGACATTTTGCAGTGGAATTTGTTACAATAGTTTCTTTGAAGGACATCATTGGAGTGTTATGAGGGAAAATGTTTTGACTATTGTTCCAGGCGCACCTTCACTGATGAGTGGCAATAATAAATTGTACAGTGCTGACTCAAGTCCTGGCTTACTTGGTCACTTTGTCATAAATTATGTACAATGTTGTTCATCTATGAATTTGTTGCGTGTATGCTAACGTTTGATTGCAGGGACACTTTATGCATGGAACATCCCAGACTTGTATGATGATACTAGTATGTTAAGCTGAAACACAGAACTGTAAGCATTGACTCATTTTGTTTTCTTTTACTGAACTTTTAGAGTACTTTTAGCTTGAGAGGAATATGTAGCATGGAACTGGTGACCTTGCATTCAGCATAGGGAGCTGGCAGGTTTCTTTAAAACAGAGTTTAACAGAGGACTCTGTGCTCTGCTTTCTGATTCCAATAACAGTTTGTTGATAACGACTTATTGAAACAGGAAAAGTGAGAATTTTTATGATATTCTCACTTTGAAACCTAATATTTCTGGAGTGTTTGTCCAGGTTATGAGTGCAGTATACTTTTTTCAGTCGTTGATATGGGATGTTAATACAATAAAGCATTTTTAAAAATTAAATTTTTGTGCCATCATTTCTTTGAGTCCTTAATCCTTGTGATTTATTTATCCAAAATAATAATGAAGTCTGATGTCCCCCATGTCTGCAACAGACAGAAGTACATGTAATGTACAAGAAACACCAACAGGTTCATTTTGCTCCAGCAAGCAGCAGTAATCAACGTCAGTAATTTATTAAATTCAGTTTGTGATCTTGGAAGGTGCCCGTACTGGCATGTATGAGTGTGCATGTATAGGAAATTTCAGTACATGAATTTAATTGTGAAAACCTGATTAAATGAGAGACTTCATTCCTGTGGGGCTGCCAGTGGAAATGACTTGCAAAGCTGATGGCAGAGTGGTGTCAGTATGAGACGGAAATGGTAGCAGAGGTTTTCCACTGGAAACTTAGCTTCGTTGAGTAGCTGTACGTGGAGGCATGTTACTATAAGAGATACATGCTTCATTTTTAGTTGAATGGTGTACACATGTATTTCAATGTTTTCTGGGTATGTTTTTAAACTGAGAGTTTTCATGCAGTGCTTCCTCAAGAACAGTTGCATACGTGTACATGTATTTCACCTGTACATGTATGTACAGGTATCCTTTGATGGACACATAAAGATGTATGCAGATGTATCTATCTTGGTGAAACCAAACTGTATATGTAGGTGTACATTTATGTTGAGTGCTGTGTTTTGTATTTGCTATTTATAATACAAAGTTTTCACAGTGTGAGAGAGATTTTGCAGATTACATAATTTTTTAAAGATGTATTTATTATTTCTTTTGCATTGGGAGATGTTAATTTTAAATAATGGGTTCTCCCCACGTTTTCTGCAGAGATGACAGCATGTCAGACTTTATTGGAACTTCTTGGACGTTGTAGATTTTACAGTACATGTATATTGATTTGCCTGTTTGGTTGATGCCAGATCTTGGCCAGGCCATTCAGCAGCTGTTTGGCTGCATTCTTTGGTTCCTGGAACCTGAGATTGTGGACACCATTCCCCACACTGTGGCCTCCACACTGGCCATATTCCCTGCTGCCCTACAGAAGGAGACGGTGGATCTGCTCTGCACCACCTTACTCCCAATATGTCTGTGTAAGTTCTCTAGTTCCGTCATCAAGGAACAAGTTTATACTCTTGAGCAACTGTGCACTACTTCTGATAACACACCATTTGATAAAAATTGAACTAGTCTATTTAATTTGTACCACATTGCTGGCAACAAGCAGTTGCAGCTACCAGTGATATCTAGCACAGATCGTAGTAAATCTTAGTCATATTACTAGTCCTGGCATGCCACAAGTAATATGGCATGAATGATTCCACATGTCACAGTTCTTGTGAAAGCATGTACATTGTACACTGTATCAAGCGTGACTTCAGGTGGGATGACTTTGAAGTTGGTGGTGATCATCTTGAGAAGACTTTAAACATTGTCCCAAAATAGGATCTTCTCTAAAGGAGAAAATTTTCCATATCAACCTGCTTTCTTAATCATATACTGGCATGCAATTAACCTCTGAGGTTCATGGAATATAAGTTCTATGGAAAGGGGCATGCTGTAATATTAAGTACATGCATCAAGAATCCAAAAGTTTCTCCAGTTTCATCATAATTTTCTTTGTTTCTTGATCCCTTTTCCATCCTCACTCTTTCGCTTTGTTTTAATTAATAGCTGAAGTTCAGTCCATTGAGGGAGACACATATGCATCTATGTCAGTGTCAGCTGTCATCATGTTGGTCCTTCAGCACTGCAAGAACAAAGGTAGGAGGAGGACGTTGGCTCCCAAGTTTTTTCTTGTGAATGAAGACATGCGTGACTTAACCCAACAAAATGATTCAAGGGAGCCACTTTTGAGTTGCAGTCTTTTGAAGGAACCTTGCACTATGAAGAGGAGGTAGAATGTTGTCGTTTCCATCCACGATGTCCGTTTTCATAAGTGTGTTCTATCTTATGCAAACAGGAATGCAGATTTGCTCTCTGTAGCAAAATGCAGCACATGCTTGCTATTGTAGTGGTAGAGAGTAGAAGATTCCAAATCAAGCAGTGGACCCAAAAGTACATGTGGGAAAGTAGGAGTTTGACTTACGGTACCAATTTAAGGATCAAGCATTTTTTTCATTGCCCTTAAACTGTTGCGATTGCAAATGGTACAAAAAAGATAATCTAGAATGTAAACATCCTGCAACAGGTTTACAAGTGACATTTACTCACATGACGATTACAGCTTCTGCCATATGAGTAAGTATGTGAAGCTCATCTCTTGTAGCAGTCTGCTGCAGTTAGTTGAGTGTCCTTTAATTAATTTGTCTCACAGTTGAGTGAACAATATTGGCCTACGGTTGTGTTCTGTCTGCGCCATCAGTTCTATCCTTTCTGCCAGGCTTGTAAAATAGACCGTATTCGCTGGCAACCCAATTTCACTCAGATTCCCCAATGTAGTGTATTCATCGGAACGATCAATTTAAAGAACCAAACTCGATTCTATGATTTCATTCTGAACCCCCAAATCACATGTACTATCCCATTAAGGGTTTCAGATGTATACAATACATTCAGGACTATGACTGACATTGGGTCACCTGCAAATACAGTCTGTGGTTGAGTAAAGTTACAGGTACACACAGTGTAATTTATTTGTGGTCAATTGTTGTGTATTAGTTATACCACAGTATTTTGCAATGCGTTGTGTCTCTGCAGCTCATCATGCCCAGCTTATGGAATGCATTATGACATACAAGAAGGATGTGTATAAGGTAAGAATAGTTCGACTTAAAAGCCAGTGTCATATTGTCATATTTAATTGGTTTTGTAAGTATCCGGGACTAGGGGAGGCAAGGGAATCATCGTGATTGAAACATACCTGACCTTTAAAAAGTGATTCCTAAAAATCATGCCCTTCGTAATTTTCTCATCTATTTTCAAGATTGCAGTTATTATTACAGAGTAATATACTGCCCAGGAGGAACATGAATAATGTAGGCACTTGTGGATAAATGCAGTAGTTACTGTCTGTGAACAGTTGCATCACATGCTTTTTATCCCTGCACTTGCATTATGGACGGTGAAAATGTAAGGACTAGACACCTGCCTGTAGCAGCACAGGTGGATATGAAGTACAACTTTGCAGGTAGGGCTAAAGAGACTTCTGACACCAATAATATCACGTTTGATCTCCTGACTGATTGTTACTCCCTTTGCAGGATATCTTGTGCACCATAGCATTTGGGCCTTCTTCAGCCCGAGGGGCTGCTGCTAATCTGCTGTTCCACTACTGGCCATCGCTTGTACCTGCCAACGTAGAAGACAGAGACTTCTCTTATACATGTATGTAAGCACGTGTGGTGGAAGCCAAGGTGGTCACCTTGCCTGAACAAGATAGAACACATGAGGGTTTATTGTGAACATGCCATGTGTGCTTGAAGGCCTGTTTTCATGCTGTTGAGAAAACTCTTAGAACATACTTTTTCTCCCACTGTAAACACTCCTTCAAGCTGGATTTTGTCCCTCTTATCTTGCCAGGATTAACCAGGAGGGGAAACATTGTGAGGACCTGTGGGAGTCCACACAGTGTCTTCAAATCCTGCATTATGTTGATCACTGTTCCCGGATCCATACAACCGTTTTAAAGTCCAACCACAGTTCCCTGTGGCATGGAATATGCACAATGTGAATATGCTCAAACCTACTCATAAGGTCTTTGTGTAAGCACCAAAAGCTGAATGACCGTGACCCTTCAGTGTTGGCCCAGTTTCCCATTTTTCTACCAGTGAGGAGTTTCCTGTTACACGAAACATGCTTTTTTTCTTAGTAAAAATGTTCATATCAAAACGGTCCACGGTCCAATTTGAAATTGTGTGGCCTTGTTTGCTCATGTGTATTGCTTTGTTTGACAGGTTGGAAGCCCATCATGTGTCAGAGGTCCAACTGTTTGTCACCCGTCAACAATGCTGCTGTCAAGGTAGGGAAAAGAAAAGCGGGCCTTGGTTAACTTTGTCTGGGGATACTATCCACTCTATCAAACTTTTTTATAGTTGGTGATGTGCTTCTCCCTTTTTGCTTTGAGGAACCTGAGTAAAAACTCAGTTGATATTCCTTGAGCAAGTGTATTATCTTCAGTGACTTAAAAAACAAAAAGGGATTTTGTACTTATGTACTTTTGAATTGGCTGATAATCTAGACCACGCAGGTCTGCCAGCTGAAGCTGTTACGCTCATACATCTGTACATGGAAGGTTATTGCGTATAGTTCTGATCTTACCTTGCAGAGTACCGCGTTTTATGTGTTGTAATTAATCCTTTTTTCCTGTTTGTTTAATGCAAGAATTTGACAAGTATCCTTCTACTCTATTCTGCTCTGGAATGGATTCTCTCTAGCACTCCATATTTCTGTTGATGTGCATTCTGGTCACCATCTTGAGACCTGTTCTTTCTTCTCCTGACCACTACTCATTGACTGGTGCCTTTGAATAGTTTGCATCAGGTTCTCTGAACCTTTAAAATATCCTTTTTGGAGCATGGAACTGGGCAATTTCCACTTTTAGTAGATCTCATTCCAGATGCATTCTGAAAGGAAGAAGAACATTCTGGGCATTGAATTGGTTCCTGAAATGCATGTTCATAAAGATTACATTATTCCCTGTCTAGGCCCTTCTTACATGTACATTTCATGTTTTGTTCTTCTTTCAGATGTGTATGGACCCAGTGATAGCTGGCAAGTACAGCAAACACCCACCTCCTCTGTATCTTTGCCAAGTCTGCAGTGACTATGTTAACAGGTATGTCAACTATAGCCTCTCTTTTGACCATCATAACTTGGCATAACATTGATTAAAACATTTACTAGCAAACTCGTGTGATGGCAACTTTGTTGTGAAAACGTGATAATTCCCAAGAAAGTTTCTTTTATTTTCAGGGAGATCAGTGACTGCAAGCCATTTCTCAATGTTCTGCAACCCCAGGAGATTGTCTCGAAGATCTGCGAGAACAAGGTACGACATATCTGTAACCTACACTCCTTAATTTTATCCTAGCATTAACCCTCCCACGTCTTCAAATCCAAGAGGCGTGGGGATCCTGATGCCATTTGAATGCTAAAAGAAAAGTGTCAACTGACTGTACATGTAAGACAGCTACAGGAACTTCAAATGGTGTGGTTAGTTCCGAGAAGTAATTTGGGGATGGCAACAGGTGTTTTACCAATTAACATCCCATTTTAGAACGCAAGGCCTCGTTATTAATGTATCAATGACCTCAGGGACAGGTCAGAAGAAGGTTCTACTCTTTTAATTGTTCTGTTTTTCCACTTCAGAACTGTTCCTCAATGGATAAAACAGCCTTGTTCACCTGTTACTCCTCGGAGTGCACAGGTTACCATGGTAACCGTCCCATCCGCTACTGTACTAGTTGTAACTCCTACATCCATGCTGACAGGAAGGATCACATCATCCAGGATTTCCCTGCAGACCCACTGTCATGTGACAAGGAGACCCAGAGTTACCTGTGTGAGGCAATCATCAGGTAAGTGAGGCAGTTTTCAGGGCCTCTGCCTTGGTCTGTGCAGCACTCGTTATCTACAGTATGTGGAATCTCTTTGTAATGTTTGCCCTCATGTATACTCGGGTGAGGTTGTGGTATTGTAGTCGAGACCAGCACAAGACCAACACAAGACCTCCAGTCTAAATTCAAGTCACAAGCTATTCAGCTGAACAGCCACAAAAGCATTCCTTTGTCGTCGTTCACCCTGTTACTTGTGATTTGTCTTGTGTCTGTATTTGTGTCTTGTCTTGTGATGGTCTTGACTACAACACGGTGAGGTTGCTCGTAACTGCTGTTATTGGTCATACAACTGGCTGATGATATGATACCTGGCCTGCCTGATGATGACTTTGTACGCATGATGGATTGGATTGAAGTCATATTTGAGCAAATTCTACCGTAGCAGTTGCTGTCGGCTTGAGATTTTGATATGTCTGCCTTCACCTCTATTAGCAACAGTGACTCGGCTCTGCTTTGCAAGTGCATTTCTCAAATGCCAGATACTGATAACTTTTTTATATACAATATATGTCCTTAAGTTCTGCTTAAGCCCAGATAAATTCATGGATAATTTTTTGTGTAAAGTCACTGACCTTGAAGTTGCCAGGTCACTTATTTAGGCACTTATTGTTAAGTCGGATTAGTTTTTCACAGTAAGTAGGAATATAAGAGACCTTGTGACTGTGGTCATGAGTGTTAGACTTACATGTGTATGTAATATATTATTAACAACTTCAAGTGGCATTTGGCCACATGCCTGCACATATGTACATTGATTTCCACTTCTCCAAATTTTAAATTAGAAAATCTGAAGGCCTCAGGTTTTGATTGAAAGCAGAATTTGTCTCAAAAGGCAATCTGCTGAAATGGAATCATGAATGCCCTTATGCAAAGATACATTCTTGTCACAGTTGTCAGATCAGTCAAAATCAGTCAAATTTCCCATATGTGTCTGTGTACTGGGGCAAATCAAGTGGAAGGAATGTTTTACTATTTTTGATGGTTACAGCAGAAAGAGGGTTAAACCCTTTTTACCTTTGAGAGTGATTTTGAGACAGCAGTTTTGATCTCGATATTTCCGGCCTCTGTAATCAGCAAGCAGTGTTAGCAGGTTTCTATATTTCATACTACTGAATCTGATAATTGTATGCTACAGTTGATGTAACGTCATGAAATATTCCATGTGCAGCCTTCTGAAGGAAGCCCACGTTATCGAGAAGGACCCCTTGATGGCAGCTGCTGAGGCTGAGACCAACACAGATGCCCTCAGCCAGCCCTCGGAGAACGAGGTCTTGGACCTGGAGGGCGGGGAGGGGGACTCCCGCCTACTCAGCCGCTTTGGCCTATGGCTTCTGATTGAGAAGTGCAACCCTACGGAGCGGACGCCTGACGAAGTGGTGGGGCGTTTGCTCAGCATGGCCTTCCAGTGGTTTGGGTTCACTGCCACACTGACACAAGGTAAGTGTGGTACCTTTCGGTGTGTGATCCTCGCCCTGGGTGGAGTAGATGCAGCTCGGTCTCCAGTCCTAATTCCATACTTTTGGAACCACTTTCACATGTCTTGTTATTCCTGCTCTTGATGAAGAATAACTGGCTACTCTGATTCTAAAATGGACAGAGAGGTGTGGAGTTTTTCTTCCCTTTGTTTAAAAGCGACTTTGATCTTAGCCTGAAAAATTTGAAAGATGTAAATTCAGTCCCTTTGTCATCCCATTATTCCACTTTCATTTGCATCCCTTTGCAAAACTCTTTTTAAGGATTTCTTATTCATGTCTGGAAATCCATGCAGAAATTTCATCTGTCTGATTTTGAGTTTTAATATAATTAGTTTTTCATTATATTTTATTCTTTTTTTCACCCACAGACAGTGTTGCCTTGGAGAGCTTGAAAGCAGACGTAAGTTATTTGAAATGAATGATTTAAAGATGCTGCCATATTCAAATGAAAGACATTTTTTTCAGTGAGATGAATAAATCAATACTGAAGTATCAATATAAATGACTTTGTTGACGGACTCTGCTCAGTGTGTATGGCCAACGTCTTCATTTATCCTCAGTAGCCATATAAGTAATTCCAGAAATTAGGGGTCCATTTTTTTTTAATGTCCCTGTCACATCTCACATACGATTTTGTAAGTTTAGAACACATTTTCTAATTTCCAAAAGTGATGAATTAATGCCATCACCAGCCAAACAAACAGTAATTGTTTAAAATCTGGTCCTGTGATATTTCCATGTCAAGTAACAAGGGTCAGATAACCAGGGACACAAAAGTGTCACATTTTTGGACCCCTAATTTCTGGAATTACCCACATGTGTTACACCTGCTAGGTAGAACTGAAACTCTGCTTAATCCTGATTCTGCCAGGTCTTGCAAAATCTTCTTCAGCTATAGGGAAGGTATAGTCCAACCACTATTTCTTGACAACGGGGCTGGATGCATCTTCCAATCTCCATTCTCACGCCATTCAACCTCTAGCCCACCTGTACAACTTACTCAGTAACCTTGCTTTGTCATTTTATCGTCCCCTCTTTGAACTTGTCAAAAGGCTTATGATTTGACTTGTAATGGATTTGTCATTATGACTACAGCTCTCAACCCAACTTCTAATTTAACAGCATGAAATTGATGAGTGATCTGAATTAAGAAATTCTTCATAACGATGTTTAGTATGACCATTCTGCATTTAATGTACGTTACCCTGGTGTTTGGTGTCCTGTCTCCCTACAGTACGTGACTAAATGGCTGATGAAGATTCTGAAGAGTCACTTCAATGTGTTTGTGTCCTGTCTGTTACCACAGCCTCCTGACTATGCCAGAGTTGGTGGAGACTAGTAAGTAAACACTTCAGAATCAGTTCTGTTAAATGTCTGATCATGAGCTGCAGTATATGCACGTTGCTAAATGCCACTTCAGTTTGGTGGCTTTTTTGGAAACAGACATTCCAAAGTGATGTTCAGATATATTGAAAAGAATATGAGATTAAATCTGTGCTCTGAAATATGTGATTGCTTGCCCTGAAGAAGGTACCTAGTTACCGAAAGGTCGGCAATCATATATTTCAGAGCACTGATTTAATCTTGTATTCGTGTTGATGTTCTGATCACGGTGCTACGCAGCCCTTCGTATTTTTCAGATATATTGAACTTGGTTTGTTGGACTTCCAAAATGAGAAGGCTTTTCAGTGTTGAGTCACTTAGTGCGTTTGAAATTCAAAATGTTTAAATGAGCATTTTGAGCCCCCAGAAGCCACGTAGATCTCTACAGGATCTTAAAATGGTTAGAAATCAACCCCATGTCATTTCTCAACTTCTCTCCTTTTGTACCGATTGATGTGCATAATTCTGCCTCAAAGGGATGTGGACCTTATTTTGGAGCACTGTCTTCTGGCCCAAAGTCAGTTTCTATGGTGTTACATTATGCCGTGTTGAAAAATTTGGCACTTTTTCATGGTCATGACTTGTAAAGACTTTTCCCTTGTGATTGTTCCCCTTGTGATGGTAAAGTTAAGAATGCAGTATTCCCAACATTCACAAATAATAAGAAGAAGAACTGAAAATTTATAATGCGCTGTTTCCATGAAAAATGATCAATGGCGCAGTACCAGTTAAGATAAGAATAATTAATTTAAAAATGAAAGGATAAGGAAAAATGAATAAGGATAAACGAATGAATGTCAGTGCGTTAGTACCCACACCGTAGTATGGGGATACGTCTGCCCCGCCAACAGGGAGAACCCAACCCTGCTGGCATCGGTGATGCCAGTAGAGGTTTATGTATATAAACACAGACCTACCAACCTGTCGTACACCTTCCTGAGGTCAGGCAATACCACACAATAGATTAAAAGTATTTAAATGAGCCCTCAATTCATTTCAAATTCTAATCTATTATGTAAGGAGGAAGGAGTACCATTCCAATCACCTTGGAGTTCAATTTTTTTCACAGTGACAGTCTGTGCAGCAGGATAACTGAGCTTCTTGGTGGCCTAAGGAAGGTCTTTAGTCTGACACCATACAATGCAGTAACATTTGAGGTGAGATCGCCGAATTGGTTATTTTTTTTCTAATTGCTGCATGACAAACCAATTAACCCTGGATTTCTCTTCAGCACAGATTGCAGTTCATTGTAGTTGCAGGGCACCATGAAAATTACATGGGTACCAGTCTTGCTTTTTACACTTTGACTAATAGAGCTGCCCAGTCGGCAAGATATTGAATGTATATATGGAAACATGGCACATGTACCGTGCACAGTGATACAAAAAAGACAACTACTCCCCAAACCTTGCGTAACAATTCCTGATTGGCTCAGAGATGATTCAGAATTACTCTGTTGGAATTTTGAAATGGTAACCCAGTGATCATGGGTTTACATTCCTTGTTCGGGCATTCAGGTTGGTGCTGTGTTAAATTCCTTGCTTGCCTGAATCAGAATTTACTGTTTTAACAATGGAATGGTAACTCAGTAGACTTTTTCACTATAAATTCATAATTATGCACGTATGTGCACAATGGCCTTGGCTACAAGAAGTGTGCAGGGGCCATTACATTCCCTGCTTGCCCGAATCAAAATTAATCTTTTATAGCATTGGAATGGTAACTCAATGGTCTTGGGTTCATATCCAAAATTCAGGGATTCAGATTGGTGCTGTGTTACATTCCTTGTACACTCCTGTAACCCACGCATAAATCTTAACGAGGGTCATGTAGGGACTTGGCTGTCTGTGTCCACCTGATTCCATTAATGGCTTTCCTCTAAAGATCATTCTTTAAATTTTGGGTCCAAAAATGTGACACTTTTGGTATCCCAGTTGCACCAGACCTGTGTAAATGTAAGTGGAAATATCATTGAAATAGACTCGATGCTACGTGCGTTTGTTGGGTTGGTTGGTAGCTAATTTTGCAGTGCTTAATCACTGCAGGATATTAAGGAGGGTATACTGATCTGACAACATCATATGTCAATTGTAACATGGACACCAAAAAAAATTGGATCTCATACTCATGAAATGACCCTAAACCCTTTCATTGTAGTCTTCTTTCCAAGATTTTATACAGTACACTACACAATGCCATGGAGCCATTTGTTGAGCCTGCTTTTGTCACCAGATGTAACCAAAAGAACCATTATCAAAATAGAATCCGTCGACTGTTTTGGCTTAACCAGGTGTGGGACTACATTATGCCTCACTGGATGGAGTGCATCTGTTGTGACATCCCTGATGAGGAGCTGTCTCAGCTCCAGGACGTCCTGTGTCGCCTCTTCGACGTGGACATGAGCCCGTTGCCCTTCTCCACAGAGAAGCTCTTCAACTTTGTGGCCTGCCGGTTCCGCGGCATGGCGGCCAATGACCAGGAGAAAGCCCTGCTGTGGCTTCAGGTGCGTGGACTTGAAAGGATGACAAACCTGTCGCCTTGTACCTGTGTCTGTGCTAAATTCTTGGCCCTCTAGTGGCCTTTCTTCGCACAAATTCAAGAGAGGGAAAAAGTTTTTTATTGGCTTATGGTGTGACTGAACAATTAAGTGAATTTCCTTCTTAACACCTTTGCGACGGATGACGGTAAGAGCTGCCGTAAAAATTGAGATCCTCAGCCCGCTTTTCAGCTATTATTCTCAGCCTACGCTTGAGCGAACACGGTGAAAGAAGGCAGACCCTGGCTCTTGTATATATGGTGATTGACCTTTGTGTGTTGCCAAGAAATGAAAAGGCCGAATTTGCATCATAATCACCAGCTTCACAATAGTCCCCACTTTGAAAAGAGGCAATGGGAATGTGGAAGCGTGAGTAGAGCCGCATGCCACCGAACAATGAGCCTTTTCACTATGTAATTCAGAGCACGCAGGGCCACAAACCAAGAATTTGCAGTTTGGCAGGTGGCCTTCTTGGCCAAACGAGGCTGGAACTCTCGGAGTCGGCTTTCAGAAAAAAGTTCCCGTCGTCAAGTTAACATGAGAATCCCCCAGCCAAGTTTGATGTTGTCCTCTTAAATTTCCTCTTTCAACCAAGTGACACAGGTATATGATAATTATGGCTGATGCAAATTCTGATATTGTTTGTTCTGTACCGTAAATAGATTTTGACGGAAACGGACATTGTCATCCCGCTCAAGCTTCTCCTGAGCATCTTCAGTGATGGCCTGACGTCCATGTCCAAGATCCAATTAGCCAAGCAGAAGCAGAGAGACCAGCAGCGGGCTGCTAGCCAAACTGCCGAAACTCCAGCCGGCCCAGAACAGCAGCAGCAACAGCAACAACAGCAGGCACCTGACGAAGTTGCTGTAGAAACCCCAGGGGCTCCACCTACCGAGCCCACTGTCGCCGCTGCACCGCCTTCAGTCGCACCTCCTGCAGGGGCTGGCCCAGGGACGGAGGGAGGAGTGGTGGTGGGAGGTGTGCCTGTGGAACCGCCCCATGTGAAGATTGATCCCTCTCCAGACGATGGACCCATACAGGAACAGGATGAAGAGCAGATACTGAGATGCTTTGTGTTGATGCTTGACATGCTGAATATCCAGGTAACTGCATTGGCTACACATGCATGTACCTCATATAATTTCTGCTCAAATCACTTTCCACCAACAATCTAAATAATTTTTTAATTGTATGACTTCAACAAATGTGGTTGTGGTCTTTTGTGTTTGTTACTGATTTGGATAAATGTTGACCAGGCTATGTCACAGTGGATAATTGTGACATAAGGATTAATTTCATCCCAGTGCTTGAATTTTTGTCAACTCAGTTTTGCCCCATAAAATAATTCTTTTGGTTCCTTCACAGTCATAATGTGAATATTTATTAGAAATGTGATCTGCAATCAGTGGGTCAACTCTTGCTATCAATGATGATGCTGTTGTTAATCATCTGTTGATGATTAGTTGATTAGCAATCTTTTGTGCCAAGCAAAGATCAGCAGAGAGCCAGTCAGAGGTGTCACACAGCATATTAAAGTTTGGCTGGTAACCTGTTCTAGCTCAGCAAATAGTCTCTGTGCTCAGTCTATGTTTGTGTTTAGCACCTGTGAAATCATACCGTCAGAATAAATGTTGGGTAAAGTTAAACAAAGCAGGCAGCAGAAAAGTTGTAACTCTAGCAAAGAAGCCTACTCGACTTCCTAGAGTCACATCAGAGTTCTATCAGGAGAATATTGCATGTTTGATGGTGCTGTAAACTGGGTTGCATACAGCATACATTCAGCTCACACAATCAAGGTATTAAATGTTCAACAAAAGGCTCCTTGCATGAACCAAAATCTCACGCTTTGGAATCCACACTTCACGCCTCCATCATTTTCTGATTCTTCTACTTTTTTTTCTTATTTACATGTATTTGTGCCTCTTCTCCACTCCCACAGAATTCCTGCATGACATGGTGTGGTGCTCTTGTCGATAGTTGTTTTTCTAGCTTCTTGTCATGTAGACAGTGTCTAGTACCCTGTGCGTGAGTTCACCCAAGCACTTTACAGTGTGTGTCTGCATGATCCCTTTCCTGTCATGTTGGTGTCTCTGGCTGGAAGGACAGGTCAGTATTGGTGTTCGGCATTTTTATTTGTGTGTCGGGCAGGGCAAAAATCCAAAATCCATTAACATCGCCGTGGCGCAAATCCATCCCTGGAAAAAAATCCTTTGGTGAAAATAATATCTTACCTGTTAAGCTTTAATATATTAGAATAGCTTTTCCGTATGTCATTCTTATTTGAAGTATGGAACCATTTTTCAGAAACCGTGTCCCTTCCAGTACCTACAAAATGTATTGCCACTGTTCATGTGGTTGTTGCTGTAGCTACTGATGCAAAGTTTCCAAATCTCATTATTCACACATTGCACTACAAGCTTCAGCAGTTATTAAAATAAGTTTGGTTTCCATGGGGCTGCGGAAGTACAGTCAAACCTGCTTATCCGGCCACCTTTGTAAAACGGCCTCGTGTTTGTAGCGGCCACTTTTACATGGTCCTGAGCGACATTGCACGTAATTTGTTGGTTGCAGGTTTCAATATTGCAGCCACTGTCCAATGCGGCCAGCAGACAGGTGTCTTGGAACGGTGTGTGTACATTTATATTGCGAGAGAACTTCCACATTCCGGCCAACGAAAAAGTGTAGGCCGCCCTCTTGTGGTGCATCAAATTTGTAAAGTCAGATACCTGGACTTCTTTTGTCATGATCATACATGTGTTTTAGGTGCCGACTATTTATCACCAATGTATGGTTACCGCGTGCTACACAGCCGTTTTTCACACGACGTGGTGATCTTTCGTGACTTCTGGGCATTGTTTTTCTTGCATTTTCCCTTAATTACTAATGAGTACAGTGTTCCTGTGTACATGTGAATATTAAGTCGGACCCTGCTACATTTGTTTTGAAGGGTAACTGATGGCCATTGTTGGATAAAATGTGTACAAGTGTGTGTAAGTTACAAGTTGGGCATTAGAATGGAAAAAATAAATACACACACATGTCCATACATGTACCCATGTAATGTTGGAACGTTTATAAAGAGGCCACCTCTCCTAGTGGCCACATTCCCCCGGTTCCATGGATGGCCACTATATGCAGGTTTGACTGTGCTACAAACTTGATTGAAACACACTGCTGAACAAGGGCTTAAACCCAGGTTGTCAATTTTTTTTCATTTTTTCCCCCTAAATTCTCTTTGTTTGGAAAAAGTTTTGTATCTGAAGATCACCTGACACTCTATGCCACAAACCCTGTGAAACTGATCTGAAAAAGTGTTGTCTAAATTAATTTAATGCTTCAGTATTTTCCCTGCTGATTTTGACTTTTAGTACATGTACATATTGTTTTCTGATGGCTAGATATACCACCGCAAGTGGGAATTAGTGACGTCTGTGCACTGTACATAGACTTCTTACCCATTTCAGTCAAACCCTGCATGGATGTTCACTTTACATAGATTTTTTCTGATAGGTTTTTATCCCTGGAGGATTTTTGTGAAGGGAAATATTGAATGTCAAAGAGCCTCTTTTCTTGGATGCTTACGGTTGGTGCATTAGAAGGAATAGAAGGCAACAGGTACCAGTCTAACGGTGCCAGAACTGTGGTCAAAAGCCCAGGTCGTTTTCCAATACTCAACTTTGTCTCCGTCTCATGCTTCGTGTAGCAAACCATTCCCCGATTGTGGGCCTGAAACATTTAACTTAAATTGAAATACTGTAATTTTTGGCACTTTTGCATCTTACTTGATGTTTTGTGGCACTATCAGACTTACTATTGCGCTTACAACCTCAAAGTCAGGAAGAAAAAACAGTTGAAGCCTGAGACTTGGCCCAAGTCGAGTATTGGAAAATGGCTCTACAGTAAAAGACCATAAAGATGATGACATCACTGTATGCCATGTGGAAGCACAACTGACACTGAGTGCTTTCTGTTTTATTTAGAATGCTGTACCAGACAGAAATAATGGCAGTTCCGTAGCGGCCATTTTACCTTATGTACTTGTGCAAGTAGTGCTGGTCTTTCTGGCCCAAAATTGGAACAAAACTGATAAATGAACTGATGGTAAATAATACAGATAATAAAACCCTCCTGTTTTAACCATCAAAAACAGTCAAAAATGCCTTCCACTTGATTTCCCCCAGTACACAGACACATGGGAAATTTGACCGATTTTGACTGATATGACAATTGTGTCAAGAATGTATCTTAGCATAGGAGGGTTTTAAACATGATGCAAATGTAATACAGTCATCACTTTTTACATCTATTCTACCTTAAATTTTTCATGAAGTTTCAATCTCTAGGTCAACAAGTGGTTCATTTAAGCTTACCAAACACTTCATGAAATCTTTGATACTGTAGAGTACCTACTGCCACATTTTTTGGCATTAAATAACTCACCAAGTACAAAGCAAATTTAAAACTGCTAAACTTTGCTTTAAAGCAAGTTAAGAGCTTTGCTGCTGCATTATAATCATAGTGTTAAAAGGTAGTCTTCAATATGATCAGTGCTTAGTGCAACAAAATCATCACATAAAATTCTTGTTACGCGGTTCCTTCAACATATTTTAGATTTTGTGGGCAATATCTGAATGTCACTTATCTGAAGTTTTTTGAGGGTTCAAAACTTCACTTTATAGTTGACCAAGTCATGTTGCAGTTTATAAAGTTCAGATTGTTAAATTCTATTTCATTCCACTTGCAATATGTCATTTAAGAAAACAATAAAACGTACTTAGACTCTTTAAAAAATTGTGAGAGCCAATGAAATAGAAAGCAAAATCGAATCCTGGACACTGTATCGTAAATTAACTCTAAACACCCATGGCAGGTTTAAAATCATTGAGCCCAGGTTGCCCAAACCTTATAACCCCACTGCCATGATATGGGCAGTTTTAAAAGGTAGTCTTCAAATTATATGATCAGTGCTTAGTGCAAAAATATCATCACATTAAGGCCCAGGTATTAGTACACATTGCTAATAGAACACCTTAACATGTAAGTCAAACCATTTTTTTTTACACGAATACTGGTTCGTGTAATTCAGTTGCTCTGGTTATAGCCATAATTTCGAAATAATCACTTCTTAAATGTTTTATTTTTTATGAAAATATTACTTCAATATCAATTTGAAAAATCAGTTTTTAGCAACTGTGATCATATAAGTACTTTTGAAAACCGTAAACGTGTATGTACAATATGAACATTTGCATTTAATATCAGCTATTACCTTGTCAAAAACATCCACTTTAGCCTGCTGCTTAGTCCTACATTTACACTTGCTAAGATTCAGCTACATGTACTTTTGCAAGTAAACTGCCCATGTTTAAGCCAATCCATCCAGTGGTGAATTGCCATCAAAGACTAAATCAGTCAAATGATGGGTGTATTTTACGGACAAGGCAATGTTCTTGATATGTAGGCATTTTAATGAGCAGTCACTGAGATTCAGCACCTTTATGTAATGCATAAGTAACTTGACCATGTTTCAGCTGATCCACACAACGTGGAGATGCTGGCAGGGCCCAGATCAGTCAAAATCTTTATGCTATTTATGGGTCATATGTAGCAGTGTGCAATTGTTATGGTTCAGATCCCTCACGTAACACAATTTTGGCAAGTTACTCGACCAAACTTTTAGCTTAATCGAATGCTGAGTTGCCAGTAAGGATCAAATCCTTCAGATTTAGCATGTCACCTGCAGAGGAGGCAATATGTTCAACATCTGTGTCCTGCAACGAGCAATTACTAAGGTTCAGCTCCTTCACGTACCTCATTGTTGGCAAGTGAATTGACCATTTTTCAGCTGATCCACGCAATGCTGAGTTGCTGGCAAGGATCAAATTATTCGGATGATGCATGTGTTCTACAGATGAGGCAATGTGTTTAATATCTGTACATTGTAGTGAGCAGTCACTGAGGTTCAGTACCTTTATGAAGTGCATATATCGCAAGTGAATTGACCATGTTTCAGCTGACCCACCCAATGCTGAGTTGCCAGAAAGTGTTAAGTCTGTCAAATATGGCATGTAACTCACAGATGAGGCAATGTGTTTAATATCTGTACATTGTAGTGAACAATAATTGAGGCTGAGTGTTATGACATGCTTCAAGTATTGTAAGTAATTGGACCATGTTTCAGCTGATCCACCAATTGCTGTGTTGCCAGTCAGGATCAAATTACTGAGCCCTTTTTTGCCTAATAGCAAGGCAATTTGTCTGAAAGTTTGAATTTGCAATGAGCAATAGCTGAGATCCAGTTTGTACTCACTCCTTTCATATGGGGGCAAGTGAGCTGTAGATCTTGAGGCTGACTCATCAACAAGGATCAAGTCAGTCAGTCTTGGCATGCTACTTACAGACAATGCAATGTGTTCAACATCTGCACATAGCAGAGAGCAGTTTCTTAAGTTCAGTGTATGTAGGTACTGCATTTGTGGAAGGCTACTTGCCCACGTTTCACCTGACCTACCCAATTCTTCGTTGGCTGAAAGGATCAAATCAGTCAGTCTTGGCATGCTACTTACACACGATGCAATATATTCAACATCTGCACATTGCAGTGAGCAGTTGCTCAAGTTCAGTGTATGTAGGGACTTCATTTGTAGGAGGCTACTTGCCCACGTTTTTCCTGACCCACCCAATTCTTTGTTGCCTGAAAGGATCAAATCGGTCAGTTTCGTTATGTCAACAACAGATGAGGCAATGTGTTGAATGTCTTGGCTGTGTAGATTGCAGCTTATAATTTCTAGTATCTTTAGTTCTGTCAAGTGTTTGATGAACACAGCCCACTCTTCTGCTGGACCTCCAGATGTATTTTTGCCATGTATGAACAGTTTAGTTAAAACTCTGTTTCATCTCAGTGATGACAGGATTTCTTTCTTTCTTGACGCCACAGTTGTGTTTTTTGCCTACAAATGGCTGCTAAAATTATAGTTGGCCTTTGGTACAAAAATTTTAGAATAACTTATAGTGTTAAAACCCTGTGCAGTTATCAGAACACTAGATTGTAATACGCATACTGTTAAATACTAAATGGAAATACTGTACAACCCTATTGAAAATAAATGGGACAAATGTCCATTTTAAATGAACCTGAGGTAAAATTAAAAACAACCAAATGGCGATATTCTGTAAACTTTGGCCGCCCATAAAGTTGTAGGCAAAATGGAAGTGGTCTGTCGCCGATGCATTGCCACATTGTTAGCTGAAGTTTAGGGCACAAAAACCCATAAACTCAATATCACAACAGCATTGTTGACTACATGTGGAATAGAAAGGGTGTCCACCAATGATTTCTTTGCAACTGGCATGCATCGCCGACTTCATTGAGAGCAAGTAGTGAATATGGTGTTAAAGTAATATTTTCAGCTCTGATGTTGTTTCAATCCAGTACCGGTAGTGAGGAAAAAAAACTTAATATCCTATTGACAAAACCCTTTCCAATCAGCTGAAGCAACATTCCATGTGTAATTCCAATGCTTGGTAATGCAGTATAGGACAACAGATCCAATGGACCTCATTCCTGAGGAGACCATTTTTCAACTATTGAATGGAATAGTATCAGACCATTTTAGAATGCATGTGGGTTCCAAGCTTCTTTTCCATTTTTTATATCGTTGATCTTGATGCTAAATATATGCTTTCAGTAGTCGGTACCTAATAATCATCTGGAGGGGGAAAACATTACACTCTGTTGTAAACCATTGGCTGTATTCTGCTACGGTGAACCAGAACATCTCTAAAATTCGGTACAGGTTTTTTGTTTTTTCAACTGCATGCAGTCAGTCTAGATAGACTGGCTGATACACATTTGACAAATTGGATCCTTGCTGCTTGTTTTCATTCTGGAGTACATCTTTTAGGGGCTAGTTAAGTCTTAAGGTGCAAACGTATGAGTTTCCTATGAACTCATGCTTATCAGTGGTGTAGTTGAGACCTCTTACATGTAAGACCATCACAAGACCATTACAAAACTAACACAAGACTGCTAGTCTGAATTCAAATGAACTACAATAAAAACATCAATGTGTTACTCGTCATCTTGTTACTTGTGGTTGTTTGTACCAAAAAGTGTACATGTAAATTTGATACATGATCAGATACCAGTACAACAGTTATTTTTCACACGCATAAATGTGTGGTTTATTGCATCTTGAATAAAACATACAATTAAGCAGTATTCTTAGATGAGGGACGGTTCTAACAAATTGCAGACTTAAATTGCATCAACTTTAAAATAGTTTTCCATCTGCATATCCCATATCTGTATTTAAACAATTTTATTCCTCATATTAATCCTGTTACTGGTTCATGCCCTTGGATGATTTCAATGCTGCCCTGTATCAGTACTAGGGTGTGTTTGTTGACCCTTGATGTCACGGCTTGTAAACTCAACAATACCACGTCTAGGGCACATCAATGATAACCATACAAACTGTTTCTGGCAGTGGATTTCTTACCATGTTTATGCCTTGCTGATGTTTAATATGCCTGTTTACAGACTTTGAATACCATTTACAAGTACATGTTTAAGTACACTTCATGTGCATGTATTTTGCAGGCTCAACTTTATAAAATCTAACCTGTGTTGCAGGTTCGAGACCACTTTAGACCTTCAAGACCAACCGGCACAAGGCCAACACAAGACCTCCAGTCCGAGTTGAAGTCACAAGCTATTCAAATGAACTGCAACAAGAACGTTCCTTTGTCATTGTTCACCCTTTCACTTCTGACAGGTCTTGTGTCTTGTCTTGTGTCTGGTCTTGTGCATGGTCTTGTGTCTGATCTTGTGCATGGTCTCGACTACAACACTGCTGTGTTGAGGTAGCAGCAACTCTTTGTGGGGAATTATGCGAGTACCACGTACAGCGGTCATTTTCAGCACCTTGTTGATTTCAAGATGACAGCCTCAGTGGAATTATTTACATGTAGATTCTTAAATAACTTAAGATTTAGTTACAAGTTCTGTTTTCTCTGATGTTTTGTAATTGCTACAGTGGTAAAAATAAAGAACTTTTACCCATCACTTAGTTTTATGCTTCGATGGTGAAGTTGAAGGGATGTATTTGCCTTTTGCAAAGATGCACCGTATTTTTGCCCTTTTGGAGCACATTTCCTGGGAGCTTGTTAAGTCCACTGCATAAGTTATGTATGATTGTCAGTGGCCCCAAACTTTGGCTGGGCAGAATTGCAGTTGAAATCTCAAAGGCTGAAAGTTTTACACTGATGCCAAAAGCAAGACCTTGAAGTTTATGGCCGAGGCGTGGTGATGAGAAGCCAGTACCTTGGTATCTCATGTTTAAAGTACACAATGAATGACAAGAAAACAGAACAAAAGACACAAGAAAACATAAGTCCAGGATATAATCAGATAACCAAGGTTAACTTTTCTATAAAGTCACTTGAAAGTGAATGGTCTTTTCCGCTGTTTTGAGCTGTTCCTCTTTCAGATGGACCTGCGGTATCCCCATGTTTACCAGGACATGGAGGGCAGCCACTTCAAGGATGTTAGGTTTCTCCCCAACCAGACCTGCCCATGACTTTGTTGGATTGTAACCCCGTCCCCCCCGCACCAACCCCTAGTAACCATTAATCTCTAAGAGTTTGCTTCTTGAGCTAATCATCTCCCATTCACCATGGCATAAAGAACCGTCAGTCTAAGGAAATTTGTCCCCCCTCCAACCCAGACCTGTCACTGAAACCTGTTGCACTCCCCACCCCCACTGTTGAACAAACTGCCAATAACCGTACCAATAATCTTTTACTTTTGCTTCTTGGGCTGTTCATCTTCCAGGTGGACCTCCAGTACCTGCCCTTCCATCAGGGCATGGAAAACAGCCAATCCAAGGACTTTGTGTCCCTGTTGACCCAGACTCTCTCCATGACCTGGCTGGACCCCCACCGCTGCACCAACCCCCGGGGTTTGGGTCGATTCCAGCAGGCTCCAAGTGGCCAGCCACCCACCCGGGCTCTGGGACCTTGCCCTACTTGTGAGCTGTGGGGCATCTACTTCCAGTTGGCCCTCAAGCTTCTGGAACACATCTCGCCTGTCAGTGAAACCAAAGTCTGCGATATGCCCGAGGTTTGTTGCTCTGGCATTTTAAAGCTGCCTGTGTTTTGTTAGAAAATGGAAAGTAAATATCAGGAAATGAAGAATGAAAAGAATAAAAAAAAATTTTTGCTTTTTGTTGAAGTGATGATTAGGTTCATCTGGCAGATGTTGTATCAATAATTGTTTGTGCACTGAACAAATGTTAACGTTGTTTGCCTAAAGTTCTTGACAAACAATTTTGTAGAAACAATACTAATAGAGAGAAGGGCCCATGTCTCGACTTTATAATCGTAGTGCTCCTCTCTTTGAAACATGATAATCTGTATCAAAATTAATGTTAAATATTTCTAAATCCAACACACGATATCTGTATAAAAAATTCAATATTGTACGTCCAGTCAGCTCATTTTTTTTTGGTCCAGATGATTCAACTTTGTTATAGTGTTTGCAATTCTTAATTTGCGCGGACTATAAAGATTAATACATGTAGCTGGAGACTCAACGTGCTACATGTACGGTGTTTAATGGAGGAAGTCAAAAACACAAGTATTTAATGTGGTGAATCAAGCACTCAGTATGATGACCTTTGTGTTTCCTTTTCAGGTGTCAGAGTACCAGTTTGAGAAGTTCCTAGAAGATGGGCTGGCCAAAGCCAAAGCATTGAACAATGATGTCAAGGGGAAGAAGAACCGTATGGCTGAGAGAGGCTCCAGTAAACAAAAGAGGTTTACCAAGGTAACCAGAAAGATTTCATTACCATCGACATTGATGTCTAGGTGCTGCTTCACATCTCTACTCATTGTGATGGCTTATGTCCGCCGTACAAGTTGAACTATTTTCCCCGTGTCAAATTTGCCCAGTAGTGAGAAAGAACATGGCAGAGACTTTGAACCCCATGCTGTGCTGTGGGGTGTGTTGGCACCCGCATACATTGTAAATGTATCAGGTTTGTGCAGATTCAGCCGAAAAATTGGCCGTGCATTCTCAGCACTCATTTTGAACAAACCATTCCTCCATGCATACTTCCCCTCATTACTTGGCCCTACGGAATACAATGTACCATTCCTGCACAGAGCTCTTATTGAATATACGGCTCTGGGGGAAAAATGAAACCCACAAAACCATCACATTTTTCGTGCACTTTTTGTGGTCTAGGCAAGGTCTGACCGTTGGCTAATATCGACTTGCAAGAGATGTCCAAGCATTTGCAAAAGAACTGTGTCATGTGTCCATGCCCAGATGTCCTTTGCTGTGAGACACTGTGTTTTGTGCACATTTAGATGAAAATTGGTCAAGCGCACTTTAAGAATGCACCCAGGGCACCCTGTACCTCAGTCTGTTTACACACTGCAAAGTCTGTGCAGTCCATTGACAGGCCATGACAACAGTCCAGGAAGTGCACTCTGTACAGTAAAAAATATTGTTAATTCGTTTAGACCAAGGATCCAGGCAAAGGGTTCCTGAGTGCCACTGAGATGAAACCAGTGGAGGTGTTTACGGCAGAGACTGTCAAGCTGCCATCAGCCAAGGACTTGAAGGCAGAGAAAGAAAAAGCTGTCAAGAAGGCAACAGCTGGAGGTAGGACCCGGCCAGAATATGTCAACTAATTATCAGGGGTCATCCATTTTTTCCCATCATTTTTACACTTGTACAAAATATAGTCTTTAACTCTGATCTCTCCCCATCCCAGAAGCATACGCAATGTCATGGCGATGGTCGATTGTTGTTTTCACATGGAGGCTGTTAACCCCTTGCTGCCTAGTGTGCATTTTACACACTTTGGGAAAATGATGAAAAAATGAATGATCCCTTCAGAGAGGAAATTATACTCTACTGCAATCAAAAGGTTCAGTGTTGAGCATTAAATACTGTGGGTTGAGTATTAAATACTGTGGGTTGCATGGTGGAGACAAGTTTTTAATAATCAGGTCTTCATGAGCAAAAATTTTAATCATTGAAGTTGTCACTGTCAAGTTGCTAGGTATTCAACCAAAATGTGACAGAAACATTCTGCTCTTTCTTAAAAAAAGAGAAACGATATTCACGACCCCCCAAGCCTTGTGAACTCACTTGGAATCTAACTTACATGTAGAGTTTAACTGACCAGTAAGCTGACCAGTTAGCTGACCAGATGACAATTTAGACTTGAGAGCTAAGAGTAAAGATGTTTACTAGTATACCACACAATGTCTTTGCTCCTCATCTGTGCCTTGCTTTCCATTTTCAAAGCAGATAAAAGTGCCAAGGGGAAGAAAGACGGTGACAATGGGTCCACGAAGGAAGCTCGCTTCAAGCTGGAGGAACTGCCCAAGTCAATCCAGCTCCTCTATGTGCTGCTCAAGGTAGGTGGAACAAATAGGTCCCTCCCTCCCACCCTCTACACCAAACAATTACCCCATATTCACCCACTGCATCTTTTTGGCATCATGTTGATTGAAGTGTTATTTGATTTGTTATTGATGTGATCTATGTGGGGCGTAATGTCCCAAATTTCTGAGCACTAAGAATGTGCCTCTTGATTGTTCATCATGGGATTTCATAATTTTTGCTGGATTAACATTTTGTAGGTACCTTTTTCGAAAAAGGGTTGGGAAATGGGGTCAAAAAACTTTGTCCTTGTCCTTTGGACTGGAAGTTCACAGAATAAAGTGGAAACCTTCGCAAATACACCCCTGACTCAGTTTGAGACAGTTGGCTCTAATGTATGACTGACACAAAACACAGTATACAGAAACCAGTCAGTTACTGTCTTGTTAGCAGTATCTCCAAGATGGTTAAGGTGATGACTCTAGTATTTCACATCCAGCTCTTCAATGGAGATGACAGCAGAGTGAATTCATTTTTAAAGAAAAGTAATGTTCATGTTAATGTCAGAACTGAGAAGCAAAGATTATTCTCTCCATATTTCTTTACAAAAGGGAATACTGGTAACAATTTTTGAAATACATGATCTGCTGTGTTCCAGACTACAGCCTGCTATAACTACACAAAATTTCTTGGGTATTGAAACACTGGCAGAAATTGGTAATCATTGGGGTACCACTGCTAAGTTGACTGACCCCTTTAATGTAATTTGTGTCATATGCTGCCGTCCTGGTAGATTTCATAACCTTCCCCCCCCCTTTTTTTGAAAAATGGCATTCTAATTGTGACTGTAATTCTCCTGGCCATCGTTTATAGGAAAAGATACTGACGTGATTTGAGATTGATAACTTTTAAGAGACTTGACTGTGGCGCATCGTGATGTACATGTACATGTGCATCTGTTACAGTATATTGACGTCTATGGCTGTTTCACTCAATCCGGTTCGTAAGCGTGACGTCACCTCAGTTTAAACCACGCCCACTGCACATGCACTGCACATAGAGTTACATGTATTGATCGTCGTTTACTGGAACCATGGAACCGGAAGCTTAACGCGCAAATTCAGCAATCGTCCAATGGGAGCCTGTATATTGTGGCACTTTTTCCTTCGTGACAAAGTCACTTACGAATCGGATAGTTTGTCAGTGTGTATCCAAATGCAACATACCTAATTGTTTTGTCTCACAGTTTCGTTTCTGTTTGATTTTATTCTGATGTAGGAGGTACCAAGACAGACTGACCCTGATGTGCTGCTCAACCTGTTCAACTGCATCAAGATCCTTGTCCTGAATGCTGAGTGTCTCCGCCAGGCTGCCAAAGATCATGATGCTTTCCTCAAATATGCTCAGAATAATCTGCTTATTCCCAGGTATGTCATTGCCTCTGTGTCATGCCTTGCTCAAGGACATCAGTGCCATTAGTTTGTCGGTTATTGCTCAGTCACCTGAAGGTTCAGTTGTAGGAAGGTTCAATGAACCAACGTTGCAGTATTCCAAAAGTTCAATATTCCAAAGGTTTTCTAGTCTGAAGGATTGATTGTCTGAAGCACTGGTGAATGGCAAGGATCAGTTTTATGAAAATAAAATAAAAATATTTAAGGGAAAGTCTGTGCCAAGTTTGGATTTGATGAATCCTGAGTGCTGTTTAGATTAACAAACCTTCAGACTATTGGACCTTGTTTTGATTTCTGAGTTGAGTGTTTGAACCATTAAAGCTCATTCTAAATTTAAAGTATTGAACGTTCCCAAAAAATATTAGAGTTTTGGAATATTGCACTTTCAGACAAATTCTTCGGTGTGTTAAATCATCAGGGGGCAGAATCTTTTGACTTTGGCACCAAATATGTATCAAAATTAGTGAACTGTGATTGGATTATTGGACCTCGGTCATATAAAATATGTCCGTTCAGATTAACAAACTTTCACACACTTGAATCTTTTGGATATTACATCTTCGGACTTTTTGGCAATCCTGTCTGCCATGAGTAATGTTCTCTTGCCTTTTCCCTTCCCCAGCTTCTGGAATTTGCTGGAAGGAGAGTTGAGCCATGTCAATGAGATCCTGGTACCCCTCTTCCTGCACAGCCTGGCTCTGCCCCACGGGTCAGATGCCATGTGGAACCTGCTACAGAGGGATGTGGAAAGTGATGACTGGAAGGCACGCTTCAGGGCTGGTAAGGGCCTCAAACATCATTTTGCTTCAACAACAGCTCGTGATTTGATGATCCAGTGATGTGGCTTTCAAGACCTACAAAATGGTGGCAAAGAGTGTAATTTTGCCATTTTGCCTTTCTTGCCAGCAGTGTGGGATAATTTGAACAAAAGTTGACTAAAAGGGAATGTTGTAAGTTGTTGCCACATCAGAAACCTTACCCTTATTCATGATGTTCTTTGCTCTAGAAAATTGTCCAAAAGTCATGGAAAATTGTAACTTTTCAAAACTGTCAAATGACCGGGAAGTTATATAGTTTACAGTTCAGACACCTCTTACTGATTCTTACCCTGGATAGCTGATGAAACTGTCATGCCGAGATCACTTACATGAGCACTTACAGTGGCCTTTATGCCAAGTACCGGTATGAACTAGATGACTGTCAAATGCTGCATTGATGCAATTCTGGAGTACCTGTGTAGGGTCCATTCTGGCTCTTTACTGAACAATTCTTGATTGGCTACAGTCAGCTAGTGTTGTAGACCCGTCTATCATTAGTCCCCACAAGTTCCTTCAAGTCCATCACCACGGGAAATGCTGTCCACATGCGTATAAGGTCCTGTGTAGGATGTTGGGAATTACCTCGGCAAGTCTTTGGAAAAAGTCTGTCCCCAGACCCAAACCTTTCAAATGTGTACGATTGACAGTTGCACGTGGGTTATATGTTCTCCACTAGTTGAGCGTGTCACGGCTCTTCTGCGGTTTGTGGAGAAGAAGTCCTTGGGTAACAACTCCGTGATCATGTGCTCACTGGCCTGCGCCTTCAGCACCCTGGTTGCTGCCACCGATGACATCTGCCCGGCCGTGTCATCCAGAGCTATGATCATGCTAGAGACCATCCCTAAGAAAGTCATCAAAGTGAGTGATGTGATCTCCAGCATGATAAGTTTGGCAAATGAGACAAAGACTTGGCCAGAGTTTAAGAATTAAAAACTCTGGGAGTCAACAAAAATAGACCATGTTTTCTCCTCAGAGGTTTTACCCAGTGGCATTTCAGTAACAGGGCCTAACCAAAATCAGGAGACACTGTATTCTACACTGGACAGCAAAAGAAACTTGCCACTGCTGTCAAAGGCCACACATAAAAATTCACTCCAAAGAAATAAACAATTTTTGTACACAGGTATGCTGCAATACCCCTTATTAATCACATACCCAAAAGCAAGTGATTGCTGTGTACAAAAATTGTTTATTTCTATGGAGTGAATTTTTATGTGTGGCCTTTGACAGAAGTGGCAAGTTTCTTTTGCTGTCCAGTGTATAATGAATAGAGTGAATGAAATTCCCTATGTCTGGTTAATCCTGTGCTTAAAACAGCTTACCATGAGAAATGATGGTCTGGTTTTTGGAGAGCCATTTCAGAATAAATCTACTAGTGCATTGTCGTTGACATTTTGTTTATTTGAATACAACTTTGGTGCCCTGTGTGTTATGCATCCTTTTCCCAGGAATTCAAAATGTATGCTTGGAAAGAAGGGATGTACAGCCTGTACACACTTGTACAAACTGAATAAAAAGGTGGATCAGCCACCAAACTGTTGTGGGATGGTAGGGGTAGGGATGTATCAAGGATGACAAAATGGAAGACGTTGTAATTTCCCATGTTGAAAAGTTTGTTTACATTTTCAGATTTTTGCATACCCCTATGTGTATGTGAATTGAGTAATCTTACGTCAAACCTTTCAAAATGCTGTTCCTGGAAAGGCATTTGTGCCACATTCACACAAGTCAGGGCACAGAAAAACCCAAACAATGTATTACCTGGTTGTCACAAAATGTCTGCACGTAGTGCATTTCAGTGCAAGAGAATTACCCGTTGTGATTCGTCTCACTCTCTCTTTGCAGGTCCTAGTGGGCTGTCTAGAGTTCCAGTGGGACTGTGTCATCGAGGACCGTGTCATGATCCTGAATGCCCTCTACAAGCTGCAGCACTTCCTGTCTGACATGATAATCCTGTCCTGGGAGTTCTTCATGAACAGACTGGACACCTTGGCCTTGGAGGCTCATGTAGAGATGGAACAAAACAAGGAGTTCCCCTTCCCCATCGGTAAGTTCCCTTTGTAGGGGGTTAGACAACAGTGCCCAATTTCAGGGTGCTGCTAAGAATGCGACCTTATGCTTACGGAGGCGCCATGTTTTTTCAATGCACACTATATACCTTAGAGGAAAAAATTGCTTAGCTTAGTGATGTAACAATAGAAATCAGTGTGCACATGGAACTAGTAGCCCAACCACGCTCTGCTAGCAAAATTGTATTCTATAGTAAGCATGACTTTGCTGGTAATTGTTAAGTTGTACTGTGAAATTGGGGCCAGTTTGTAGGGTGCACCATGCACTGGGACAAAGAGTTCAGTAACACATGATTGATGACTCAGCAGTCTGGTGCTAGGGATTTGCTGCTGAATTGTGCAGTGTGGTACATGCAGGTTAGTGAAACTTTCTGACACGCCTCCTATCTTTTATCTTTCTCTGCCTCTCCAGATCTGAGCCGTTCCCAGGCCGGGGCAGGTGATCGCATGGACACCTTCTTGAACAAGCAGACCCGGGCACGAGTTGCTCGGTCACAGTCGGAGACGAACAGCTCCCTCAAACCACGTTGTCTGTCCTCCTTCAACTTGAAGTCGGATTTCAAGCGTCGCAGCATGTCATCCCCAGCGACTACCAACGGCTTCAGCCGCATTCAGTTTGCACCAAGTGAGTCTTGTTTTAAATTAGTTACAGTACATGTAAATGGCTGTCCTCGAGGAGATTAACTTACTGTTACCCTTGACTTCATGATAGACTTTATGCTTTATTAACTTTGTAACCCTACAAGTATTCTCCCAGTCCGTCAGTATTCACCAGGTGGTTTGGGCAGATTTTGCTGAATTCAGGAAGTTGGAGCCTAGCCACTATTACTTGCACGGGACTGCATTTTCTTTGTAAATAAGTGCCATTGGTATCTTGCACAGTACTTGTAGATGATAAGGGAAGGTTCACACTTGTTGTTGGGGGTTGGAGGTATGGTAAACACCCCCTCCACCCCTTTCATCATCCCATAAAAGAAAGAAACTTAAGTAAAAAGGATAAAAACAAGCAAAGTTAGAAAACTTTGTGAAAAGTGCCAATTTGGTTAAAAATGCCTTGAAACTGACTTCCCTTTCACCCTGAATAGTTCATCTGTTTATAGGTTATAAGCGCTTACATGCAGCCATCCCCTGTAAGTTAAAAAATACCACTTATGGAGCCACCCATGTCACTATTGACATTGTAACTCATGTATTGCACATTTACATTTTTCTCTCCTGGCAGCTATCCGTTCCACCTACAGCAGGCTCTCTGAATCCTCAGAACAGTCTGTTGGACCCTTAGGGGACGCTCTGTTTGATGGTATGTCCTCTTCTAGAGTGATCATCTGCTTTCCTTCTTCAAATATGAAAGGACATGTGTTTACTATTAAGTGATTGCAACCAAGTTTGTGTCATAAAAACCTATTAAAACTTTTCTGTTTCTGGGCCCTTTAAAAAAGCACTTTTTGGCAGACGATGCTTTTGCCGTGCAGGCTTAAGTACAAAATATTTATTGCCCCCCCCAAAAAAAAATCATCTAAGAATGTATAAACTGATTTCAAAAAGAGAATGCCATTGGAAACTTGTATTGGCATATTATTCGTTTCTAACTTTGAACATAGTCTTGCTTGGATAATGTTCTTCCATTGCAATTTTCTAGATAATGAAACTTTAGGGCTAAAAGGGAATGTAAGACTGAGAGAAAATTCTTTTTAAATTTCACATGGATTCATGGCTGTCAGCACTTTTATTAAGAGGTCAAGGCAGGTTGCCATTTTTGAGAATGTTACCTACTCCAGAACACACCATGAGAGCAAGGCTTCAGTGGAAAACTGAGCCAAGTTTAGTGTCAAAATAAACACCGATATTGCCCAGTTTGTTTCCTTTTTCAGATGGTCATTTGCAGACTGTGCAGGAAGAACAACCGGCAGACATTCCTCCGATGGACCTGTCTAGCTTGGACAAGGAGACGGTGCATAAGCTGATATCACTTCTGATGAAGGTACAGGCCAAGTCACTAACTTGATGTCTTAGACTAGAAAAGTTCAGGCTTTGGATCAGGCTTTCTGCCATTTGTCGAGTGCATATTGCTATGATAGTGCAAAGCCAAAATATACAAATTTGGCAACTCTCTGCAGGAACAAGACAAGGGTTAATTAGTGAAACATTGAGGTACCGCCATTACTGAATGCACAAACTTGTAGAAGCTGCAAAGAATATACATTAATGTGATATTTGAAAGTTGTCACTAAATACATACTTGACACATCTCCCCTTTGCACTTATTCTCATGCAAATGGATCAGAATACACACCAACAATGCTCGGTGGAAACTGCAAAAAGTTATGGGTGCATTTTACTGTATTTCTCATGTTAACACCTGTTGACCTCCTGAACTTCCCAAACAGCAGAAGTTTGCTCTGTTGGAAAGCAAGGGTATGTTCTTTATCAGACCCTCGGTATACTGCTCCATCATGTAGGTCATAAAAGTTTAATGGTGACTGGTGTGGTGAAAGCAGCATGCAGGGGTTGGCCTGACCCCTGTAGATCTCTGTATCGCTGATAAGATGGTTGTTGCAAAGTGAGACCATAGAATCAAGAGGCAGGATCTCACAGCCAGGTAGTCTGCCTACTGTCTGATCTCGGTTCTGCAGTGCTGATTTTATAGAAGTTTCACTTGAATGTGAAGATGCATTAGTTTAAGTTTCTCTCAACTTTTTACCTGAGCTGGTCACGTGTGACTGCAGGTACTTTAAGAACTTCCAAAGGGAATTTAGCTGTGATTGTGTGAGGGTTTAGATTTGAAGGGCCCTTCAGCTGTTACTGTCGTTACAGACCCTGTTCGTGAAGATAAGCTTCCACTGTGGATTGACATTGGCTATTCACTGATTATCAAATAATTTCTTTGTGAAGTTCATGACAAGAGAAAGCAGTGCTGACGAGGAGCAAACTTCAGGCAGGGCTATGGTAAGTCTAAACATGTCCGATTTGCCAGAAGTACTTGAAAGAAGTAATGCAGCCTTACTGTTCCGTTAGTATTAACTTTATAATTCTGTTTGAATAAAGGAACATTCAAATTCCTACTGGAATTTGGTTAACTTAAAAAGTTGGCATGATATATGGTTCATAATAAACTATGAATAAGGGGAATTCCAGTTTGTTTTTCTACTTATAACACTACTAACACGTCTACACTTTTTCAGTCATTTTTCCATTTAACGTTATTCATGTGTCAATGCTAACTGCTAGGCGTAAGTGTATTCATTCTTAAAAGCAAGCAACCAAATTATTCTTAGAAACATAGCAGTCAAATATGTCTAGCTGGTTGCAGAGTAGCCAAATGGACTGCCAATTTCCTGGTTTAAGGATTTTTATATGCCTGGTTAATATAGTAATATTGCTCTATGGACCTGGCACCCCATTAAAGAAGTGGAGGGTGTTGGTTTAGTGTTATTACTTCAGTCTATCGGTGTTTAGCACGAGCACAGTTCTATGGGAATATTGTTATATTGCCAGGTGAACAAGAGTTTCCTCAGTGTTACTGTTACTGGGCAATATTAATTATATCTCAATTAAAAGTGCTGATATGTAGATAGAAATATTCTGAGTAATTCATTAATTCTTTGTAGTTCTCACTGTGTTGGGAAGAGCCATGTTAAAGTAACACACATTGTCACGCTGTCTTCCAAGAAATAAGAAAGATTATTGCCGCATTACTGCTGAACACAGCCAAAACAAGGAATCAACAAAATTAAACTGTTTTAGCACCATTAGATTTTGCAGTCATTTGAATTATTTTATGTTGGAGATAAAAATCTCGTATACTAGAATTGGCAGTGTGATGTACCTTGTGATTAAAAAAAAAATGTATTTTGGGGGCAGTTTGCATGAGTTTTTTGTGCAATCAAAACTGGTGTGATTTCTTGGCATTTTTTTTGCACAACAAACTTACGTGGTTGTAGCCATTTGGAAAAGACTTGATTCCTTGTTAGCTGCTTAACCCTCGTAAAAGTCGCAGTACCTTTTTGTTGTCATTGTTACAACTCTTTTGGATTCTAAGTTAATGTTTCTCATCCTGTAATTTCATATTTGAATTAATTTCTGTAAAAAGAAAGCAGGGTTGTTTGAGAAGACTTTGAGGTGAATTTCATTTCTTGGAAGTGCGCTGTGACTAAGGCTGTGACATTGCTAGAAATCTGCATAACATTTATTAAACCTGTGCATGTTCCAGAACTCGGTGAAGGGGAGAAATATGATGCGCAAGGTCAGTGCCCCAGGGAGGCCTCGTTCACAGTCCGTCACGTCCGTGCCCTATAGTGTGTCTGTCACATACTGAGAATGTACAAAATTTGAGCTGCTTTGAAAACGTGGCTGGGTTTTCTTTAACAAGGAAGAAGTAGGATACTTATTTGGATTTTTCTGCATTCACTTGGTTGCTGATTCTGTAAATTTCAAATGAAATCAGGTGCTGGATGTGAATCAATGATTAGATTGCTTTTAATCCTTTGGAATTTTAATATGAGGGTTAAGGCTTTTTAAATCCTTTTTGTCTGAAAATCTTATGCTGAAGAATGATTCTTTGACAAAGGGTTTGATACAGGTTTTGGGTGGGGGGATGCAACTTTGCAAATTGAAACACATTAAATTACTTGGTCTTTTTGGAAATTGATAATTTTCCTCCATCATAATACTAAGGAAAAATATATACCACAGAAAATTTGAAAAATTCAAAACTTTAAATTCGCCAATAATTGGAAAAAGGGAAAACCCAGAAGTTTTCAATTCCCAGCTTTTGTTTTGTGCACCTTGTGAGGCCCATGTGAAAACTCCAGATCATTTTCTGGAGTCGGTGGACAAAATGCACACATGTACACCTCCCATGTTTGTAGCAGATTTAAAACGCGTAACACCCAAGTGCACGTGTCCGTCCATCGTTTTGGAGTAATGCCGTGTGGCACAGCCATTTCCTCCCAGCTGTTTCATGGTCCTGTTTTGGAGCCTTGGATCTCCTGTCTGACCCCACATCCCATCCGTTTTTTGCCAAGTTGTGGCCAATTTCAGATCTCCTGCCTTCCACTCAACATGTCCATGTAGTTCTGTCAAACCTTGCAAAGATGCTGCCCATGCACCAAAATGCCATGATACATGCACATTTTGCACTTGCAATTGAATCCGCATGGAGTATAAAAGGTAAAGCCCATGTGCTTTTTAAACAGGGATATTCACAAATTGTCGGACCTATTCTCCTGATGTCCAAGTTGACTACATCTTTGCAAATGCAGTTCCCCTAAAGATACATGTACTTGCCATTGTTTATACAGCTCTTTCCATTGAAAATACCATTTAGCCCTTCACTTTGTTAATCTTTCCAAAAGGACAGAGTTCTGAGTTTTGCTGTGAAGAGATTTGGAATTGGCTAATGGCCGTCTGTGACAAGCAATATTGTCCCCTGTATCGTTAATGAATTGTTCTGTACGTTCAGCATTGACCCCCTACACGTATTGCCATTCAGTTGCCCCTGTTTCACAGAATACATTGGATTTGGTCACATGATGTACAGTGTTCTTACTCCACAACAGACCAAAGACCGTTTTCCAAATCTTTAGCTTGTCTTTGGCTTTAGCTTTCATTTGGAATTTTGAGCCATTTCCAAATAATTGTGTGAACAGAAGGGGACACTCCAAACCATAGCCTCACATTGCACACATCCATGTTTCTCTGGCAGAAAAACTGAATTCATGAAACTTCAGCTGAAGCCCTGGGGATGAAGTCCAGATTTTGAAATCCCCATAATGCCAGTAGCATTGTTGTCGTTCATGATTTTGATGGGATCTCTCTCTTTTGAAAAAAAAGTGAAAGGGGGCAGGCATTGATTTGAAGAAGTGTGTAAAAATGCTCTATGACAGCGAATGATTTATATTGCCTGCCACTTTACTCAGCCATGTCAGAAGAGTGAGGTGTCATTAATTGAGGTGATATTATGTACAAAGTGTTTGTATAATGATAATATGCAACCTGATTTGTCTGTAAGTGTAACATAGCGTACACCTTGCTGTTGATCCAATTTCGTCATGGGTTGTCTGCGTTCTGTACACTGTCTACATCCCCATGTGTTAAGTCGTCAGCATTTGGTATACTTGTACAACGTTGTGATTGAAATTGGAGGTTAGGTGCCAGTTCGTTAGTACAGGGTTCTTTGTGTGAACTTGTTTGAATTGTCAAGAGGAGAAACAAAGGCAGATTTTTTTTTCAGAATTTTGTCCTCTGTCAAATCATCCTGTGATTGCGTTGAAAATTCATAGACATGAACTTCATCAGTTCCAAGGATTCCCGCATGCTCTTTTGCTTGTAATTTACCGGTCAATTTCCAAGAAGCTGTGGCAGAAGTACCACATTTCAGCCCTGCCCCCCTAAAAAATCCTGTGATATTCAACTAGAATGTTACTGATTTCTCAGTTGTCAAAACTCCAACTTGAATTTGGCCCCGAGTCAAGGGAGTTTGATGCAAATTATTATGGTATTATTTTCATTAATACCATGAGCAGTTTGGTTATATTTATATCAGTTCTTTCCAAATGGCAGTGCCTCTATTCAGGGAACTTCTTGCCTTTATTCACAAGAATAATAACCTTTAATCTTCCAAACATCGTCAGTGTTCAAACCTTCCAGCAATGGACTTGGTATTTTACATTGTTTATCTATTAAATGGTTTTCCTTTGTTTACACTTGCATGCATAAATCAACCAAAAAACATAAAAAGTCAAAAAACAAAAAACAAAAACAAACCAAAATCAAAGACGATGCTTTTCTTGTGGACCTCTGACACTTTTTGTGTTCCACAAATGTGATTAAAGGTGTCTCACTTGTCTCTGAAGCTGGAACCTAACAAAAAGGAATGCATCATATTACAGTTGATGCATCTCTGTTTTCTGTGGTCAATTTTAGTTTTTATCCACCTCTCCCATCTATATCCTTCAACAAGCTGATACCCTCACTCCACTGTATAACACTCGGTGTACATCATGCCACTGTATGTTAACACTGACACCAGACCATTGTTACATGTAAACATCGTCCACCATAACCCTCTGTTAACCCTCATCTGTTTCATCCTCAGCTCATGTTTTCTAAGTTGACTCGCCATTTTCCATATTTTGTTCATTTGCATGAGTAAATACCTCATTTCTCCCACGGCTGTGTTATATTCTGTTTTTTATTTAATTTTGAAGGTTATTATTTGACTTTATACTTCTTCTTCATCACATGGTTCCATTGTCTTTCTTCCATCAAATATTTGAATGAAAAAAAAATCCAATTGAAAAAGAAGATTCCATCTTCATGCAAATTCATTTGACAAACAGGTCCATAAAAGTTACTTTTATCACAACATTTATTCTTTCTTCCCTTTATCATTTGGTTTCACTTTGGTCATTTTTTTTGGGGGGGGACATGCTGAACCAGTATAAAAAAAAATCTTTATATATCACAGATTTGATGATTAGTGCTTCCTCTGGTACAATGCAGTAAAAACTTGAAACTCAGAAAATCTGGAAATTAGAGCATTTTGGCATTAACAGTTTCCTTAACCCGGACCACCTAGGCCCTGTTGGCTAGGATACACCTTCAATCCTTCAAAACCCTCCAACTGCCCCCATGAGAAAAATGGATCCTCAATCCTCCTGTGACATTTCTTGAAGATGTTCTGTGGAGGGGTGTACCCACTGCCTCCATCCTTCAGAATCCTCCACCAATTCCTCATTATGTTGAGGCTGTGTGAATGGTATCCGGGAGCAGTATGGAGGATTTCACATATAACATGGGCATGCATTTATGCATGGCTGAACATAAGCAACACAAGGTCTAACCCACAACCTTGAAAGAGTGCATCGTTTTGTAATCGGTAATGCAATTTTGCCATGCAGCCTCAATCCTCCAAAACTGCCCGGAGGATTTTGAAGGATTGAGGATGGTTAGGGAATGGGATACATTGTGAAATACCTTGCGGTAAAGTATCTTTTTTTTCCTTTGGGGGCAGAGCACTGTGCTGCGTCATCTCAGTGTTCTCATGGGGTACAATCAGGTGGAGAAGTGCTTCATCCTAGCACCCCAGCAGCTCAGGGAATCAGCTGTCTTCTATGCCTTTATGGCCGGAGCACCAAAGGTATCCAAGCACTCCCTCAGGCCCTGGGATGTACAGGCAGTTATAATACACTGCCCACTTTTTTCCCATGTTCCCAAATTTACTGAAATATTAAGGGCATGTAAGTACACATACAAACTAATGAAATGTGTGTTGACTGAAAACAGTATACATGTACAATGTTAGAGGATTTCTGCAATAACAACAGAGCCCTACAGGAGATGTTGAAGGCATGTCCAATTCCCTAACTCCGGTAATCTCCTTGCTTGAAACAGTGAACTGAATCACTCCTGTTGACCTACATACCAGTAATGAAATGTGTTGACTGAAAAGAGTATACATGTACAATGTTAGAGGTTTTCTGCAATAACAACAGAGCCCCACAGGAGATGTTGAAGGCATGTCCAATTCCCACACTCCGGTAATCTCCTTGCTTGAAACAGTGAACTGAATCACTCCTGTTGACCAACATACCAGTAATATGGCTTTTCTCGTGTAATTAAAATCAAGATTGCTTAGTGTCAGCATAGCAAATGAGTGTCAGCATAGCAGATGAACATCTTATTTGACTTAGTCATGGTAAAGCCATGCATTTTCAAGATGGTTCATAACCCTGATTGTTTCTTCTTGTGTGTCTGCAGATGCTGGACCACAACGTGAAGGTGGGCAACATTCTCCTGCCCATGATTATGGAGCTTTTTGCCTACTCCCCATCACCCCAAAAGTCCCCCCAGGACATGCAGCCCCATGACTACACCCTGTGGTTCCTGGAGCCCCACTGCAGGCACTCTTGGCTCATGTCGGTGCTCATCATTCTGTACAAGGTGAGGCTGAAGGCTGGGCCAGACATGGCCCCTTCATAATGTGTAACACTTAAGCCACCGTTGTAAGGCATTCTTGCAGAATGAGACAGTACCACTGTTATTCATCTGAATGTGCACAAAATTATACTGTGTGGAGAAATTGCATCTGTGGCACTGAGTTGTCTGCCACAGGGTCTGTTTTTGTCTTCCGGGGTTGAATGGTACTTTTTTTGCATGTAGGAGGATCATTGGGACAAGGTACATGTATGTATAAAGTGGATGAAATGCTGCATAAGGTTGGCATAATGGTTGGGCTGGATAAGTGGGATGATGGATGATGGGAAAGCCAGAGTAAGAAGTGAAGGGAATGATAGGGAGGGGAGGAGTAGGAGGTGAATTGGATGATGGGGAGGGGGCGGAGGAGATGGATAGGGTGATGGGGAGGGGGAAGAGTAGGAGATGAATGTGATAATGAGATGGAGGCAGAGTAAGAGATGAATCGGATGATAGGGTGGGGCACAGTAGGAGATGGACAAAATGATGGAGGGGAGGAGTAGGATATAGATGGAAAGAGAAGGTGGATGTGGGATTGGAGACAGATGGGATTAGGGATGGAGTTAAAGTAGACATGGTAGATATGGGATGATGGGGTAGAATTGTAGAGGATAGGATGATTGGGTTGAATGCAAAGTGCAAAACTGATATTTTAGAGGAATCTAATTATACACAATCCATCAAACTCACAAATGCACTGCTTATCTAAGCGTCCAGGTCTAGTCTGACTGTACTGGGCCCACATTCTTTAGGCATTGCTCTCTCCTTTAAAGAATCATGAAGCCTTTGTATGCCTATCTCCCTTGTTGATGGTTATATGTTGATTTACTTTGAGGGATTTGATTGCATAATCTTTATAAAAGGGAAAGAAAATGGGAATTGTTTTGTCCTTTGCTGTGGTCATCTGGGTAGGCTCTCTCTTCGAAGACAGAATTGAATTACCCTGATGACAGAATAGTGCATTCCAGAACAGGGTGGACTTCATTTATATAACTTGGATGTCTCTTAACATAAGCTGTTATTACAGGAAAGAAATTCAAATTCATAAGAAACAGCGAGCTATGGCACCTTTGCTGTTCTAGTTATTCTGTATCTGCATATTGTACGCTTCATTCCGTACGAAAACATTCATTCCTGATCAGCAGTACTCAAAGTGCCAGTGGCTGTGTGGCTTTTGTGAATGGAATAATCACAAACTCTGCCTGGTTCCTTACTTCGGACAACCAATCATGCCAGAGAAATTTGGTGGTATACTTATTAACTGCATTGCAGACCTGCGTACACTTCCCATTCAAACTTACAAAGTGCTTTCACTAGTTTGCACCGTGACTGTAAAGATGATCCATCTTCTGTGGTGAACCTGTGATTGACTGTTCTTGCAGAAAAAGAAGTTCTTTCATTGTTGTAATTTCATTGTTTCATTGTGTTGTCTATCACAAGTCCTTTCTGAAGACCAGTCGCAAGTCTTTGCAAGAGGTGCAGTAGTTAAGTCTTTTCACAAGACCAGTCACAAGTAACAGGCCTAACTTGACTAGCTTCTGACATTCAACTGGATGGTTTTTGCCCTTGATTGACTGTTCTTGCACAAAAAGAAGTTCTTTCATTGTTGTAAGGCAGTGCAGTATCCAAGTCCATCACAAGTCCTTTCTGAAGACCAGTCGCAAGTCCTTGCAGACGTTCAGTAGTTAAGGTCTTTTCAGTCACAAGTAACCAGTCACAAGTAACAGGCCTAACTTGACTAACTTCTGACATTCGACTGGATGGTTCTTCCGCTTGCATGGACTTGTACAATGAACTCAACTACAACTCTGTGGTAAGATTGTACACACACTCAGACCTTGAAATCAGACCAAAAACGTGCTCGATCAAAATGTCATAACACAATCAATTTTGTTCTGACATTACCTGCTTTTGGTCTGCCAAGGTAGAGTTCTAACGTGCAGTGTCAGGGGTCGAAATTCACTTTTTTCCTGGTCCTACCAGAACCACACACGCAGCCATATTGAACAAAACTAATAATACATCAGATGCCATAATCCCATATATTGTGTTGATATTTTAAGAGCTGTTATTGACATGTTGGTCAGACAGTTTGTCTAAGCGTCTTTGATTTGGTTTGGACAAACACAGTAAGTGCTTGGAAATGTCCGATGTCCAACCGTAATTTCACGCACTGCACACAGTACAAAACCACTGCTTTATAAGGATTTTTTTTCAATTGCTCCTAACAGTACAACTTTGACCAGCTGGAGCTGAAAGCAGAGGTGAAATCCCTCATGCGCATCACCATCAACACCCTGGAGGCACAGAGGCACCAGTGTAAGCCCAAAAGGCCTGAACCACCCTCGCCTGAAGACATCTGGGGAGCTACCACACCACTGGAGAAGAAACGATCAGGTGAGATCACAAAGTCACTCTGCTTGTGAATGGAGTGTGGAACCCAGCGTGCCATAATTTAGTCTGTTAAGTAACTTCCCTAACTAACTAATAGCTAACAGACCTACAGGTACCTGTTAAATGTACTCAGATCAAGTTAATCAGTTCTTGCTGAAATTAAGCTTGACGTTATAAAACAAATACCATCTTTTGGTGCAGTAAAATTAGCTCCCACCCCCTCGGTGTTCCATGGAGCATTGCATTTTAGAAAGTAGAATTTTCCATGGATCACCTCAGGAGGCTAATTTTGTTGCACAACTCAAAGCAGTCAATTTTTGTATAATTAACCCAAGCTCACCTAGCGCAGCTCTGTCCTTCCTAAGACCAGAATTCAGTGAGTTCTCAAAACTGCAGGAAAAGAACACCAAGTGTAAACTCTTTTCCTCATTTCAAATCTTGACCTTTGCACTCTGACCCTGAGCTCCAGTTGTAACCACTCGGCAAGATTTCATACCACTTCATAGAAGCGCATGGCTTTCTGGTAGCAGTTCATAAAGAGCAAGCTAACTTGACATCCAGAACATTTTTTGAATAGAGGTTCAGCAAGAACAATTTCAATAACAATTAACAATGCATTTGAACCATTAGAATGTGATACTGTCTTGAGATACATGCAATAGCAACAGAGGTGTGGTTTTGTCATACTTGCTGGATTTCAGCATTTCTGACTCCAAAGATAAGAATTTTTAGTGGTTTAAATCATATTTGCTGCATTTGTACTTTGTAAAAAAAAGTGCTAGATGCAAGATTGACTTTTTATACCCAATTTGGAGAGCCATCGTGTCATTTTAGGGATTTAAAAGACCTAGAAAAAAATCACATTATTATATTTTGCACAGTTATCTCGTCAGTGCCTGGGCTAATTCCCAACCACTGTCAGAGAAGTAACCATTTCTCCATCTCTTCGCAGAGTCCAGCCTGATCCAGGCTGTAGGAGAGGGAGAGGAACAAGACAATGGTGAGGAGGTGTCCTCCAACGCCTCGGCAGGGCCTTCCTCCCCTCTCATCCCAGTGGCTCCCAGGGAGATTCCTGCTGGCCTCCATCAACAGGTGGAGTGTGAACCTGACATGCTGTTCGTTCCTGAAGAGGAGGTAATTTTTCCCTGTTTGCTTCCAGCTGAAAATGAATTTAAGCATGCCAGTTTGGTTGAACTTAATGTTTGTACTTATTGGAAGCCGTTTTGAGAATTCTGAAATTATTTCAGGATTTCAAAAAATTAAAAATGGAAATTGGTATTCACCTCATTGTTGGGAAGAGTAGGTGAATTTGTAGACTAGTGACAAAATTTAAGATTTTGGTGTACATTGTTACAATTATAGGAAAAGTTTCGTGAGTTTTCGGAAGCCCACCTGCACACAACCACCAATCACCAATTTCATTCCTTAATTTCACTCTATACAATATTGTGCACTCTTCATCACAGTAAATGTGTTGGAGAACACAGTTCAGTGTATACTACTAGATGTATGCAGGAGTCAAGATGCCATGATAGGTGAAGTGCTTCAAGTTGATTCAGTACTACAGCCTTGACACTACAAGCTTTTGCAATTGTATTTGATGTTTAACACTCAAAGGTGACTGCCCTACCCATCAAGAAGTCCAACCTCAGCTTTGTAGCATCGACCATCGTAGAGGTAGAAGAGGAGAATGAGGAGAGTGTGGAAGCCCTAGAGCCCCTGAACAAGGTGGAAGCCATCCCAGCCAAGGCCCTGATGGTCAGCAAGGAGGAGCCGGTCAGCGTCCAGGCCGTCCCTCGGGTCAGTCAGTCGGGGCATTCTTGCCATTCACAAATTTCAATGTCTGCTCTGAAGAAACGTCATCCTGGAACACTTCTTTTGGGAATTCTTTGAGTCACCTTTGGATGTTTTTTATGTCCCCGATGGGAACAGGCAACAATGTTGAATAAAGCGAGCAACAATGTTGACCACCTTCCCCATACAGGAACACTTGCTTTTCCCAGTAGGAGCGGTGGATGTTCCCAAGCGGAATAAGCAGTGCTTTCTAAATGATCAATAGCATTCTAAATCTGCTCAACTTTTTGCTGGATTTTACAGGATCTGGGAGAGTTTAACAGGGAAACTTTTAGAGATGAGATTAATTGAGAATGGAAACTTAACACATTGACTGCTGACTATGAGTGTACTCTTAGTCACAGGTGCACTGGATTCTGTCACTATGAGCATACTCGTCGGAAAGCAAAGGCTATTGGAATGTAAATTGAATGCACTGGCATCAACAAAGAACACAAGAAATAGGCTGCTGCCAGTGTGGAGGGTGTACCTCCGTAAAGTGCTCATGTTCAAACAGACACCTAAAAGGTACCTGTTAAATATGCACGCATGCGTAAAACGCTTTGCAAATGGGAACACCCCTTTGAAATTATTGGCGGCAGTGAACGTGTTAAACCTCAGTCTACAGATGGTTAGATTTTGACTGGCTGGTATCCCCTGTTCCCCAGGTTGTGACCGAGATGGCGAAAGTGGAGCGCCAGGCCCTGGAGCCCAGCCTTATGTCAGCCAAGGTGGAGTCCTTCTTCTCCCCCTTTGAGAAGAGCAAGCTCCAGCCCCGCTTCCGCTCCAAGAAGCAGCGCAAGATGGGCGTGGCCACCATCTCCTCCAACGCCCTGTCACAGCGCATCGACAATAAGCTAGGTGGGGGAGGCAAGCAGGGTGAACTGAGCCTAGACCTGTCGGCAGCTGGTGCTGGAGGGGGCATCAACGCTGGCATCACAAAGGGAGGCTTGACCAGGAAGAGCAAAGAGAAGGGGAAGAAGAGGTCACAGAAGCTGAAGGAGCAGGCCAAGACACCAGAGAAAAAGAGCAGTGTGTACTCAGCTGCTAAGCGCTATCATGAAGATAAGAACTTCATGGCTTTGACAAAGTACGCTGTTAAGAAAACATTTAGGGATGTCCTTTACTGTGCACTTAATGCTGTAATACCTGGCTCATACTGTCACGATTTTGGTCCCGATAGCTCCAGATTAACCCTCCTTTGGTTTTACAGCACAAATGTGCACAAGTGCCCAAGGTCACTCTTTTGCATGTTGGTGCAGTGCACAACACGACACAGCTGTGCTTCTTTGAGGTGTTTACCAAGTGACCCAAAGAGAGACTTCAGCATAGGAGGGTTAATTGTGAACGTGTGTATGGTAACGAGTTGGAAATACAGGGCCCCAGTTGCATCTTCGGTATGATACTGACAGTTGTTCTGCAGTGAGACTATGGATATCAAGGACAATTATACGAATTATGAAGCAGATCCATCACGGTTGGATCATGATACGAATTATGAAGCAGATCCATCATGGTTGGATCATGATACGTTACAGTCAACAACGGGCTACTCCATTAGAGTCAGGAATACAAGATATTAGTGATGATTATTCACGTTTCACTTACAGTTGTAATATTAATGAAGATTTATCACCTGTATCATATGCGTTGAAAAATGTACCAAAGGGTAGTACAGTGTTATATATTTGTACTGAATTGTCATAAAACAGCGTCTTCTGACCTACCGGTATAAGGACCACCCAAGGTTCTGGATAATCAAACACATGCTTTTTTAACCAGTTTGTGCCGGGGCAGTTTTCAACGTTGATGATGCTGGGCCGGCATGACTATCATTTTTTCCATTTTCAAAATCCTTCAAAAATTCATCATTCCATTTAACGGTCGTTTATAGCCGCATGAAGTAATCTTTAGGCACTACTCTAAGTTGACAGGTGACCTTCATTGATGCCCGAGTATTTCAGCCAGGCCT